ATACCCATTGGTTTAGTAAATAGCATGTGACCCTTATGCATGCCTTTGGACTGATTTGCTGATATTAAACATGATTATTAAACATAATTTAGACACATTGAGCTTGGTGGCCCAATTGAGAAATAAGGGCCAAAATGGTCAATGGCACCCAAATAATAATTAACTATTTAACTGAGATAAATAAAACTATGTGCTAAAAAAAACTATTGCGCTTAGAAACAGTGGGAACAATGTGATTAGCAGTTTTCTTTTAAGAAAGTATTAAACCAATTAATGTGAGAAACCTCTAGATTGTTAGGCAACAGGTAAGCAAAATCCCCTACAAAAATCAGGATAAGTCCAGAATCATATATGATGCACCAACTTTTCATGATATAATGCCACCTTTCTCAACTTTTCATGATATAATGCCACCTTTCTTTTCCCAACCTTACAACGTGTAAAAAATTACTCTTCATAATAATCAAGAGAGAAAATTAGAAATTAAAAATTAAAACTAAATGGCAGGTTCATCTTCAGAGAAAGCGGTGATGATAGTAGGAATAGATGAGAGTGATGAAAGTTTTTATGCATTAGAATGGACTCTTGATCATTTCTTTGCTCCTTATGCTCCTATTTTCCCTTTCAATGTCTTGCTTGTTTATGCTAAACCTCCCGCTACCTCTGCCATCGGTCTCACCGGTCCTGGTACGTACTTTCCGTTTTCATCCGTTTTTCTTTCTTTGTGTTCGACTTTATATAATGCACTTTTATTTGTAACGTTTTTATAAAGTACACATATAAAAATAAATATTTGTCTGTGCGTAACTTTGACCGTTAATAAAGTTTGTGTTTAAGGTTTGGAATTGACTTTTGGATGATTGTATGTACAGGAGCTACAGAGGTTCTGTCATTTTTGGAGGCTGATTTTAAAGAAAAATGCTGCCAGGATCATAGACAAGGCTAAAAATTTGTGTCACTCGAAATCGGTAATTATTAGTTAATTACTCATGAACTTGCTGTTGTATTTGCAATAGTTATGTTGTTTTTATGGCCATGTATAGTTCTTTGAACAATTGGTTAAGCTAAGAAGGCTGTATTGACTATTGAGAAGCTTAGGAAAGAAAATGACTTAGGCCTTGTCCACCTTTTATTTTGTTGAACACAATTTAATTCTCTCTATTATATTTATTTTTATTAAATTGAACTCATTTTTATTGAAATTGAACTTAGTTTTTCTGAATTGAAATTAATTATACTGAAATTATTTTTATTGAATATTATTTTTGTAAAATGAAAAGAACCAGCTTTTATTCGGAAATTATAGAATAGATCCATACTTTTTATAGAATCAGACCATGTTCACTCCACCTTAAAAATAATAATATTTTATAAAAATAATTTTAGTTAATCAATAAACTTAAAGAGGAAATATAATAGAAAATCAGTGAAAACAATTTCAGCTCAGTAACTTCCGTAAACATAAGTTAAGTTCAACAAACATTTATTCTAATTCAGTAAAATAATTTCAGTTTCGCAAAAATAAGATGAATTAAATGGGGTCTTAGGGTTATTTTTTGTGAGAATTGGGCCATGTTCACCTCACCTTAAGAAAATAATATTTAATAAAAATTATTTCACTTCATTAAAAATAATTTTAGTAAAGATAACTTCAGTTTAGTAAAAATCTAGCCTTCAATAAAGACATATAAATAAAGAATCAGTGAAAATAAATTCAGTAAAATTAATTTAAGTTCAATAAAATTTCAATTCAGCAAAATTAAGGTGAAGTAAATCGGGCCTTAAATTACTTTTGATTAACGGACATTAGTTTAGTGAACTTAAATAATTTCTACTTATTGAAACTTATTTTCATTGATTATAATTGTTTTTTTAAAGTTTTTGATTTTTATTTCCAATCATAACACTTATTTATGATGTTCTTAGCTAATTTTATAGAGCTTAATATTTTTTTTACTGAATATTCTTTGAATAAGGTAAATAACTGGGGTCTTTGTGACTTGATCTTTAGCCATTTCTAGCATTTTGCATAGAAACTGTATAAAGTCAAACATTTATCTTCTACGGTACTAATTTAAGCTTTCGAATTTAAATTAGAAGTAGAAGTAAGTATGTAACTTATCTTCATAAACATAAATTTAAGTCAATAATAACAAAATTTTGTTCTATCAAGTGATAGATTGCATCAAATTCTAATTATCATGAATGTAGCGCCTTATTTTGTACAATTTCTGCAATGAGATACTCATGCTACTTATTTATAAAAAGCCAATCTTGGGTGGTTTTCTGTGACACTAAGAAGGATGAGCTAGCTACTAATCAGGAAGTTCTTTATGCGTAATAATTAGCGGCCTTTTATTTTCTTTCCTTGTGTTAGTTTTGTTGAACTTACTCTTTATTTGATAGCCAAAGTCCTATTTGAACTTATCGAACTTGCTTACACTTCAGGTTCATGATGTTGCTGTTAAAGTTGTAGAAGGTGATGCTAGGAATGTTCTATGTGAGGCTGTTGAGAAGAACAACGCGGCTATGCTGGTTGTGGGTAATCATGGTTATGGAGTAATTAAGAGGTAACTAGTTTCTTCTTACATGTGTGATATGCTATTATTTAACCATTTTATTTCAATCTTATTTTTAGTATAGTAACATGCTTTGTTAGTTATCTTATAGAGGATTGGCACTATGACAGCATATTTTTCTGTTTTTTTCCCCTGAAGTGTAACAACCTCTTCTGCAGTATGTCTGCTGGGCCTGGATTATAAGAGTCCAAGCAAGTTTTTCTTTTTCTTTTTCTTTTTTTTTTTTTTTTGAAACTCACCCTTTGATTTAGTTAAAAAAAAATCCCGAAAAATCCCAAAATGCTGCTGCATGCACTAAAAATACCTCAAATTGTTCCGGGGTTGGATTGATAAGCACATACGATCCTAGGAAGTGTTTTTGTCATCGTCCTTGGATTCAAAGAATAATCCTTAGGACTGTTTTGTCAGTTGCTCCATGTTAGTATATAGTTCCCTGTATGACAATTTTTAAGTTAATATGACACGGGCCTGCCAGTAACTCGTTTCTAGCTTATCAAATGGAACTATTTATCTCTTCTCTTTCTCCGATGTGGGACAATTACATTATTACAATAGGTTTCACTACTGGAAATTGTTACATGTTCCTCTAATATTTGGTAGAGGGGTTGTTAATGATTTTACATTTCAATGAGGCAAATAAATTATAGAATTATAAGGCATATTCGGAAGCCAATTGATGTTGGAAAGAAAAGGTTGTTTTGTAGGAAACTGGCTCCTGCAGAATAAATATAACCAGATTGTGAAGAGCTATGTTGAGTTGTTGACAATAACTTTAATTTTATAACAGGGCATTCCTAGGCAGTGTGAGTGACTACTGCGCTCGCCATGCTCACTGCTCAGTAATGATCATCAAGAAGCCTAAGACTGTAAGCACGGGAAGCAAGAGCTAATATCACTTCTAAAACTGTAAGCTGATCAACGGTGTAGTAACTGCTGTTGAAGCAAGCATTGGCCTTTTTTCGGTTTTTTTTAGGGATGTTAATGAGGAATTGAAGATTGAACAGGACAGTGATGCATAACCGTTCCAGTTGTAGTTAAGTACTTGCTTGTGATTGTTAGAAATGAATGTTTCTATGTACATCTTGTTGTTGAGCCACGAGTTTAAACTTTTGGTCACTTTAGCCTTGTACTCCATCTGTAAAATTGGTTACATTTTGTTTTTAAGGTTGAAGTATTTCACTAGAATTTCTTGCTCATACAATCATATAGTATCATCATGGAGGTTCTAATTTGATTCCCAAACTTCCACTATGGTTCTTAGGAATGTCAATTTAATGAAATAATCCTGATAGTCGACCTCACTTATGGGATTAAGACGTTCAAGCAGAAGAAGATCTAAGTATAAAGCAGAAGAAGATTTAAGTATAAATCGAAGTGAATCTAACGTGAATCCATATAACTATATTTTTTCTTAATTATAAATTCACAAAACGAGTCAAAGTGGAGTATATGAATGGTGCAAAAGTCAAAGTGTTATATTGAAAATAAAACGGAGAAAGTATGAATTAAGGATGTAATTCATGTAAAGATGTTGACTCTTTAAAAAAAATGTTACCACTGTTTGGAAAAAAATTATATTGTGGTGTAATTAACAAAGTTTTATAATACGGGGCGGTATACTCTTGATTATAATTAGTGTGACAAGCTTGACTTTTATTTATTTATTTATTTATTTAGTTTTTCTAATATGAGGGAGATTTTTGACTTAATCTAATGTGTGTATAGTTCAAATTTAGTTGAACTATACCAACTCAAGTTGCATTTCCCACACCATCATTGTTCAATAAAACTGTACATTTATATGGATTTTTACTAAATAAACTGACTTAAAAGTTTGATTTATAAAAATCCATATGATTTTAGCCCCCTTTTTTTTTGGAAATATGATTTTAGAGAATCATATTTTTTTTCTTTGGTCACTATTTCATGATATCTCAATTGATACTAGAATCAAACTTGATCCAATCACAAGCCACAATCCTTCAGAAATCCAAAATGATTTATATACTTGTTTTATTACCTAATTATAATTCAGTCAAACTTTACTTGATCAAACATAATCCAATCAAAGGGGATTTCAATCAAACAGAATCCAAAATAAAGGATACATTTGTAAATATTACCTAAATTATAATCTGGTCAAACTTTACTTGACTCAATCAAACAAAATCCAACATGAAGGATACACTTGTATTATTACCAAAATTATAATCCACTCAAACTCCACTAGACTTACAATTGACCAGAAACGACCCGTTTACGGCGTCTACAGTTCAGTTAAGACCCGCATTATCTACAATAAAAGGACAAGATAATAAATTGAGAAGGAAGAAATGAATGATTAAAATTGACCCAAAGTAACATAAAGAATGAATAATTGTTGAACCAAAAATTAACCAAACATACAAACACACTAACCGTTGGTTAGAAATACATATATCATGTGAACATCCTTCTGTCTTTACAAAAGCTTGCAAGCGAGACAATCCTACGGAAGGTACGCACCACGTAACCTTACAGCTTGGATAGAGAAGAGAGAGCGAATACAGTTAACCCAGAAAATTAAAGAAAACCCAAAAACAAGACGTTCATTCCCAATTTCAGAGGCCAACTTAAAGTAGATAAACACACCCGTTAATTATTATTAGTGATTTCTTTCCTTTGTGTGATCATTTTTCTGGGTCTATAAAAACCCAGATTTTTGATCCACAATTGGGTGTTTTTTTTGAGAGAAATTTTGTGGGGTTTTATTTAATTGATTGATTATACTCATGGTGAGGTCAGAAATTAATAGTGATCAAGCAATTGATTTGAATGTTGAACCTGAGGAATCATGTATTTCTTGTTCAATTTGTCTTGATTTGGTCACCAATGGTGGGGAAAGATCCAGTGCTAAACTTAAATGTGGCCATGAATTTCATCTAGGTAATCATCAATTACCTCTTTTTTTTAATTTCTTTTATTTTAATTTATACCCAATTCTTTAATTTTAATTTGGATTTTATTTATTTATTTATCTATCTGTCTATTTATTTATTTATTTATTATATATATCAATTATAAAATTTGAGAATTTGAGTTTATGTGCTTTAATTTGTGTTTTTAGTTGTAAAATTTGATGTTTTTCTGCTTGTAAATTGAATTTGTTTTGATGGTTTTAGTTCATTTGTGGTTATGTATCATCAATTATGATGTGACATTAGTTGAAGATGGATTCTGGTGGAATTTGTTTATTCCAAATTTTGCATGTGTAAGTAGCTTCTTTGGCACTCATACAAGTTTCATTTTCTTGTGTTTGCATCACATTTTATCTTGGTAGATCCGTGGAATTGGTGCAAGACTAAATCGTGCTAGTAATAATTATACAGCCTTTATATCAAAGCCTTGCATGTCTCGAAGTGGTGGTTTTCAGTTTTAGTATGAAATTATAGACCTGTAAATATGTTAGGAGTTGGATTTTTAGGGCTAGTCCCAAGAAAACATTTTTTCCGGCTTAAGTGTCGAATAAGATTTTAGTAGAACATGTGTATTGTGCTGAACTGTCTTATGGTAATGCCTTTCAAAGATTTAGTTGGAAAAGGACCGGTTAATTCGTTTTCCTAGCCAATCATTTAGAGATGTATCTAAAAACAAAACACGTGTTCGTATCTTTTGTGTGATGGCAATTTAGGGCATGCGTCATGCATGGTAAGAAGTATAAATTTTCGATAATAGATCACAAAAGATACCGTTGATGCCACATTTCTGTCTATAACTAAAAGAGGGGTAACGGGAACTTTTCATTGTGAATTGATTCCTGAATTTCAGTTATATAAAGATTTTAAACCATGATACGTAAGTGTAAAGGGTCTTAGCTCCTTAGTGGATAGAGCCTCTGATACTGGGTTTAATTATTCATCAAGTCCGACTTTATCTCACCTGAATTTGAAGCTGATATAACTATTTCAAATATTTTTATAAACACATAGTGAGGTGTAATCTGCAGTTTTATATTTGAGTTTTGTAGAACACTTTCTTCAATTCAGTGGGTAGTAGGTATTAATGAAATTATGCAATGTTTACCTGGTCAGTGTTTAGGGAAATCCCTGACAAGCTTAATTTTTAAACATTTTTTTCAAGATAACATCAGCGCACTGTGCTCCTGTTAGTAACACTGGTATCTAGCATAATAATTTAAAGCCCGTCAATGTTATAGTGGATGGGGGTAGATTGTTATATAATCTGATTATGGCGGTGTTTATATTGGTTTATTCTGTTTTTTTTGCCCCCCTATGTTGTACTGGGATGCTGTCTTGTAAGTGTACAGTTAAGTAGCAAACACGAGCTTAACACTGGTTGTTGCCCTGTTGGGGATACTTCATTCTAAAGGACACAATTGATTTTGTTTGTTTTGTTTTTGCTTTTCTGGACATGCTTCTTCCATGTTTTGTTCTTTACTGCATCATTTGATTCTTGTAAAAAATTACCATCTATCTTTTTTTATACTCTCTTTCAGTTTGAGGCATTAATGCATGATATCATGACAATGCATTTAGTGAGGATGTTGTATTCTTTGGTTTTTTTTGGTGTATTATGTTGTTGTCAGGGGATTTGATATTGTTGGACATTGGCATCCTTATCAATGTGTTATGCAAGGAATTACTTATCACTAAAAGGTAGATATCTCTGTTTATAGGTATAATGACACGCTGTACAAGCTTATAAAGTTATAAAGTCATGCATGCTAGGAATTTTGGTAAGCTTAGGCACCATTTGAATATGATCTGACTGAATTTAGGAGAATCTGGAAAAAAAAACTGTTTTTGAAAGAGATGAAAAATATTATTGTAATGGTAATAATGATCAGAATTAGGGGAGGATAAATAAAGGGAAGAATAAAGAGGAGGGAGAAAATAAAGAAAGTGAAAGATGGCGGAATAAGAGAGGAACAAGTGGTACAATAAAGGATAGTTTTGGGAAAATACCATCTGCTCTTCACTTGCTAACTGTCCTCTGCGTGTTTTAATTTCCGGGTGCGATTATGGGGACAGGGGACAAGCGAGAAAGTTGATTTGTCCCTAGTTATAATTAAGTTATTTTGGAGTTTCAGGCTGTCATGATGATGGAAGAACTTTCTGAATAGGTTGATTTTGTTTAATTATTATAGTGGATGGTACTAATTCTGTCATATATGTCCTCTCATTGCAGTCTTTCAAACTAACTTCATCTACATGTTTGGGTACTTTGTTTAAAAATGCAAATTACCTGGTTCTTTTTTAAGTAAATCTTTTGAAAATTTAACCTTTTTCTGATGTGCAAATATTTTCATAAATGTGGGAGTTTAAGGGAAAAGGATGGTCTCCTAGAGCTACTCTGCGTATATTTTATATTGTGGATCTTTCTTCTTGGTAGGGATAGGTGAGGGTCGTGAGGCAATGTTTATTGTTAGCCCTTGTAGTTTACAATGTTGCGGTTTCATAATCATTTTTTAACTGTAAGATAGAATTTCATGTTTCTTTTAATAATTGTGGTTGACGGAGATGCTTTGATCTGATCGTGCTGAGGAGCTGCTATAAATGGTATGGGATCACTGGCAGCTTCTTGAATTTGTTGTCCTCAACTTAAAGTGTCACTCAACTTCTAGTTATAAATTGGATTCAGATGAAAATGAGAGGTCTCTAGAAGAGTTTGTATTCTTGTAGCCGATAAAATATGCATTATGTCAAATTATGATTGAGTGAATATTATTCATGTATCCGGGACAAGCGAGAAAGTTGATTTATAAATATTTCAGGGGTAGTGGTACAGAAGCAAATTTTTCCAACTTACATCTCATATTATGTGATAGTGGATGTAAAACCACCAATTATTTTTGTCAGTCCATTGGTTCATACCTCCAGTGATTCCTGTGATACCTTTCCCAAACCTTTTGTAATTTGTCTACAAGCTTTTAACCAGTGAACCAAGGTCTTGTTAAATCAGAAATAAACTGCTTAGTCTGAATACATTAGCCACACGTCCATCTGCCATCTTTTAATGCTCTAGTCTACAGTTACAGATGTATGTTTACCCCTCGTTGTTAGCTTGTAACTTCTTTTGTTTGTTGCTATATTTTTAGTGTTCATTGCCTTGGAGTTCTGGAGTTCCTTATATATATTCAACTTTATCATTCTTATTATTACCCTTCTTCAATACTATTTTGCATAGCTGTGAATTAACTCACGTTGTATTTTTCTCTTCTTGATTTTCTATGCAAAGTTATACATGATGTTCTCACGGCATAACAGGATTTTCAGCAACCATATAATTTTCTCAAGCGTAGTTTTGTATATGTTCCTTGGTGTCTCATTATTAAGACCTCTTTATTACTTATCCAAACTACAAAGAATATTTTGCAGTTAAAGAAACCCTTAATTAATGTATCTATGATATTATCGTGATATCGTCCAACTGTAGAGAAGATCTCTAGTTTGATTTGTCTCGAATCCTAAACCTTGTTATGTTTCTTGACAATCTCTTGTTTTCATATTACTACTTTTGTGTGCACTAGAGGCATAGTCACATAATGGTGTATACAAGTTTTGATGAGCCCATTAAATGCTTTACTTGCCAAAGTACGCTAAAAGATCAATTCAAATTGTTGAAATACTTTCAGATATCTTGAATTCTAACATAACGTAGTAGTGAAAAGAATTCCACAGAACATGCACAGAAAATTGATGTTGTAAGAATTCTTTCTGGTTTCTTTATTAGTTGACTCCCATATAATGTCCTTTCTCATGATCTGTGTACAGACTGCATTGGTTCTGCATTCAACATGAAGGGAATGATGCAATGCCCAAACTGCCGGGAAATTGAGAATGGTCGATGGTTATATGCTAGTGGCTCCACCAATTCATCCCCAGAACCAGGAATGAATGATGTGAATGTGGATAACTATCCTTTTTACTTCACCTTTGCTGAAATGGTAATTAAAGATACTTTTTTTCTTGTTATATAGTACAACTTTATACATTATGAATCAGTATTAACATAAAATGAATGGAAAATATAACTAAAATAGAAGCTGGACTTTGGCTATGGATTATTTTGTCGAGAACGATCTCTATTTTGTTAATGTTTTCTATTAAATTAATTTGATTATGCAAATTCAAAATCAATTTGTTTTAAACAATGTGAACATGTCAATATAATATGTCTGGGGTAACTACAAACTATAAAGGATCTTTAATTTGAAAGAACTTGTAATAATAAATAATGCTATCTTTGTCAAGCAAATTTGGTGGATAAATTAGTATAATATCAGATCCGATTTAAGCATGCATGCTTGTGTTAGGGTAGATACTGATAAGAGAGCAACATGGATCAGTTCTATTAGAAAATATCTCCTAAATATTCAATTTGATAAAGATCGGCTTTTATAGAAGAAGATGCATTGAGAACTGAGTGGTCCCTTTACCTTCTGTACACTTTTGGGTGGATTTGGGTTGCATGAACAATATATTTTTGGGTCATTACTGATGTAGAAGCAAACTATAATGTTATAGATGAGTTCTGGAAGAAAATCTCCTAATTTTTCAATTTGATAAAGGATTGGCTTTTATAGAAGAAGGTACATCGAGAACTAAATGGCCCCTTTACCTCCTGGAACTGAGTGGATTTGGATAGCATAAACCATATATGTATAACTGATAAGGTTCTATGTCAAAATATCTACACAGTTACATCAATGTCAAAATCACCCTATATCTCTGAAGCATTATCGTTCTAAGGTGGTGAATGCCGAGGCTAATTGAGTGAGTGTATGCTGGCCTATCTCTTAAATATCTACACAGTTACATCAATGTCAAAATCACCCTATATCTCTGAATCATTATCGTTCTAAGGTGATGAATGCCGAGGCTAATTGAGTGAGTGTATGCTGGCCTATCTCTTAAATAAATAGGCCATTTCATTAGACCCTTGATCTGGACTGTTTAGTTCATCTCTTATATCACAATGGATGAGAATTGTAGATGGAATCTTCCAATACCTTTGAAAATGGGAAGACTTTTTTGCAAAGTAAAGAATACTTTAAGTCTAACACGAAACAGCTGAACTCCTTTATATTACGTTGGTATAAATTGAGCTGACTAAATGTTGCGTGCATTCTTTGTGTACTTGTAGAAATATGTTAAATTCCCTAATTTAAATTATCAAATGTATATGTTCTTTAGAATGACCTCACTATATTGATCTTCAAACTTCAAAGTAAGTAATATTGCTTTTCTAGATTTGTTAGAATTAAGCATTGTTAATCTCCCTCAAAACACCTTATTCTCCCTATTTATGACCTATAACAAACCACTGGAAACTCTATTTGTAATTTATGGGAGTTATTATCATAGGTCTGCACAATAATTGTTTGCAGAGGAAGTTAGTGCAGTAGAATTGAAAGCCTATCGTACAAGATAAGAGAAGTTGTGTTTACAGATGTTTATAAAGCTTCTGATAGGTGTAGGCATTTACTTTTTTTTTATTGGTTCTCTGGTTTGATTTTGTAGATGGTAGATAGATGCTGTATCTGATGCTTCTTTATTAAGCTGTCGCCCTTTTTTTTTTTTTTTTTTTTTTTTTTTTTTTTTTTTTTTTTTTGATGGGGCCTTATGCAGTTCTTTGTAACCTTTTCTTGCCAAAAACCTGCTTTAGGATTACGCATGCTGATAGTATTTTCTAAGAAACAGTTAAAGACAAACTTGAATAATATCCACATTTTTTGTTTGCTGCAGCCTTATAGAGTTCACATTTGTCCATTTCGTGGATTCACTCAAGTTCATCCATCTTCTCAGTAAGCACTTATTCACTCCTTAGCCTGTGAAGTTGTTTTTATCTGAAAATGCTTCTTACTTACGATTTCATCTGAAAATCTATTATGGCATTAGTGTTGGATTATACTAAAATTTTACTAAGTAAATGAAGCTAGGGATGCCATAACTGATTAAGACTTCTGATTACTTTTAAAAAGTGTTATCTTTATTTTCATTTTAGGTGCCTCGAAATAATTCAATGCTTTCCTTGTTAAGAAATTAATAATGATACACACTGTGTATCTGCTCTGCATCTGTATCAGCATGACATGAGAGACACAGATTATGGATGAACCTTTGTCTACAATACCAACTAGCATTGCTCTCTTTTGTGCGAAAGATTTTCCAAAATTCAAATGCAGTGTTTGTTTATGAAAACCCAAGATCTAAAAATTGACCAAATGAATGGGATGTTAGAAAATTTACTTTTCTGTCTTTGTTGTCATTCTAGATTCTAAACTTTTATAACCACCATGTCTTAGTATCTTTGGTAAAAATTTCAACACTTGTTTTTCGTCTTCAAGCAACAAAATAAAGTATCACTGATTCACTGTTACAAATAGAAAATTGATGTCAACATCAACATTATCCTATTACCCCTAAGGTGCTGGGTGATGTTGAATACCATCATAAGATTCTTAACGAATTCATGTTTCATGCTATGAGAATACAGCTTTATATATGTTACCCAGAAATTGAGAAATTGATGCATGGATGAGAATCTTCTGCTTTCATATTGTGACTACATTTTGAAGTATATATGGCATGTGTAATTAGTATTTATTCAGTGTCTCTAGCTTAATTTTTGTTGGATGGTATCGTAGGTGAAAAAGCTAGATTAATCTGTCACCCTTTGCAATATTTATCTTAAACCTTTACTAACATACAGTGTTCTGTAAAGTGGAACAATCATCATTATTACTGGCCATGTCCGATATGAGCACCATGCAACTATCTGAGAACTTTGTCAACTTATCCTGCATGTTTTAGGTCTCTCCAGCATCCCTCTGGACACAAGTGAGAACATTCATTTTCCTAATATTAGTGAGTTCAGTGATTTATCTCGGCATAATCTTTTAGTTGCCAAGTTTCACCTGTGATTGAGATCTGTCATGCACTTGTGATTATTGCTTGTACATTTGTCAGCAGTGAGTAGTTCAATAAGCGAAGCTGGTTAAGCTTCTAATGCATCAATGTAGGAGGGGGAGAGGAAAGGGGGGGGGGGGGCGGTTTTGATAAGTTGAACACATTTGTAGAATCGAGATTAGTTTGTCTTCATTCCTCATTTTTTTTGGTCAGCTCTAGGCTTCTATTAACCTCACGACTGTTGTCTGGCTGTTGTTCAGTGACTTTAGTGTTTAGTCTATTGAAAGTCATAGTTGATGTTGATGGTGATTTATTGTCCCTCTAACCTAGCTCTTCTTAGAGATTTAAGTGAGATTTTCATCTGAATCACAGTAAATTGGAAGTTTTGATCTGTGTGCATCATAACTCCATAACAACCTATGCTTCTTTGGCTATCCCTGATTTTATTTTCCTTGAGTATGCCATATGTTGCATAAACTTGAGGCTCCCAGGCACCAGTGTTCAATAAGGATCCATATCATCTACCTGAGTGGAGAAATTGATGCGTTTTGCCCCACCTCCAAAATTTCTAACTAGCTGTAAAGATCCCCTTGTATCCATCTTTTCCCAAAACTAGCAAGCATCTGTTTTGTGAGTATTATTAGAGTTTGTAAACTGTGAAGGCAGGGGTAAAGACAGAAGAAAAGAAAGCAAAAACTTCCCTTTATAAATGCAAGGTTAGTTTGGAACACAGTAATATGGATTCATGTCAATTGATATTCATTGGTAAACACTGTACACTGGAGATCAGAAGCGAAGATTAAAGGAGATTTATTTTGTATTGTTTAAACAATTGAGATAAATTTAATATATCTATATATAAGAGAAGATAAATTTAATATATTGTCTTTATATGGATTTTGTAAAATATTAATGTGAATGTTCTTATGTGATAGGTCAAGCCTTGGTGTTATGAGCACATTAGCTCCGATGGTGACTCATCAGCATCCTGGAGCAGGCAGTCCTCATCCTCACCCTCACCCTCCTCCTCACCCGCACCCTCACCCTCATGGATGGGTCTTTCAGCATTCTTCTTATCTGCATCCCAATCAAGCCTCTGGTCTGCCCATGCCCATTAGTAGCAATGCTGGAAGATTCGACACCCAAAGAAGCATGCCTAGATATGTGCCTTCAGGACTAGGATATGAGCCTAATCCCAATTTCTCGCATTATCCAGAAGGTTCTCCCCCTAATTATTCCCATCCTTGGAGCATAGATAATGTTCCTCATTTTCCATTGCCATAATAGATTATATGTATATATAAAAATTCTCGTCTCAAGCTCGGCATGAATTCTGGTGACAAATATGGTCTTTGGTGGATTTTGCTATGATCTATTGTCGATATGCGTAGATCATGAATGCTGATGACCCTTTTGTGGCTTTTTAATCATGAGCTGAACTGTTGTAAATCTGGAACATGATCAATTTACCCCATGATTTTGTACATTTTGTTGGAAGTTATTATGATCATGCTGGATGAAAACTGAAAAGTAAGTAAAGTCCACTCTGTTGGCAATTGTATTAAATGAGGAATGCTCATCAGAAACAGGACTTAATTATCTTGATGAAGAAGGAAAGTAAGTTTGAATGAGATGAAAAGTGTGAACAAGTCTTTCAAGCTCTTAAAGAGTGTTTTACCACCATACCTGTTTTAGCCTTACCTGATGGAAGTGATGGATTTGAAGTATACAGTGATGCTTATGCTTCTCGTCAACTCAAATCTCATGAAGTTAATTACCTTACACAATGGCGGCTCTTGAAACCTTTTCTTTCGGGGGCCAATAATGTATAGCATAAGTGTATGTCTAAAACAATAATAACAAGGAGTATAAGAATATAGCTAAATATAATAAATATTACCGAACAATTAAAAAAAAATGTAAGTGTCACAATCTAATTCATACAAATGTCACAATCTATTTCTTTAGCAAACTATTAAAGTTAGGCTCGTCTTTCTTTTAATAATTTGAAATAATTATTTTATTGACTTAGTACTAAATGACTTAGAAATCTTCCTTTCAATAGAAATAACTAAAACTATCGGTCAAAAACTCATCCTCCATCTTGTTACGTAATCTTGTTTTTATGATCTTCATTGCTGAAAATCTCCTACAGTGGTAGCTGTTGAGACAGGAAGGGTCAAAACTAGACGTAGTAGTCTATCAAACAAAAAGTATAAATTTGATTTTCCTGTTTGTGTCAAGTGATCGCAAAATTCCTCCAAGGTAGAATGATGTGTCAAACTAGGCTCATTTTTTGCTTCACAAAAAAAAAAAAAAAAAAAAAAAAAAAAAAAAAAAAAAAAGTGTTGCAATTGATACCTCAATATGTACCTTTTTTGCTCCGTAAATTCCATGGGGTAAAACTTTTTTGCAATCAAGCAAAACTTTTCTGCAATCAATCAAGCAAACCTTCTCAGGATCAAAATTTTTAAATCCGCCTTTGGGCTCTAACAAATATGATAAAGTTAAGAGCTCTAAAGTGTTATCATTAAATCTGCGATTTAGCTCTTGTAATTGTTTGTCAATTGCACCTAAAAATATTTCAACTCGATAAAAATGATTCATTGAAACTTGGCCTTGTTGATGACAAGCTCGACCCCTACGAGCTATGTAAGGAGAATTCATATCAGACATTAAAAATATCATGTTGGTGACAAAATAATACTACCGACTTTAAAAAACTTTCGCATCTATTTTCTCTCATATCCTGAATTAGTGCATGATTTGTAGATACTAATTTCACAACATTGACAATATCTTGGGAGTTTGTTGTAAGGCTTGACATAGAACATTGACAATTCCCAAAATTTCTTCCATTAAACGGGCAATGAATGCAAATCAAAGGAAATCATTAGATCTAAAGCAGCATCAGCATCCCCACGTTGAGAAGAACTACAAGACTTACCATTCGAGGTGTGTTCAAGTACTAACATTGTTGCATCAAACGTTTTCATCAAGCTACGAAAAGATTAAAGATGTGAACCCCAACGTGTGTCTCCAGCTCTTTTTAAAGTACTCACCTGATTAGCTCCTCTACCACTGTTTATTTCACCAATAAATTAGTCTTTTAATTTCATCAGATTTGACGAATTGCAATTGGTCAACATGTTTAGGAGATGAAACAATGACATTGATAATGAAAGTCAAATTTGAAAAAAAAAAAAAAACTGATGTATTACTCTAACATCTCTCGATGCGGAAACCAATGCTAATTGTAAACGATGAGAAAAACAATGGACATAATAAGCATATGGACAATCAGAAAGAAATAACGCTCGCAATCCATTCCACTCACCTCTCATATTACTAGCACCACCATATCCTTTCCTTCAAATATTTTCAACAGATAAATTATGTCGAGAAAGAACTGAACACAATTCTCTTTTAAGTGTTGCTGCCGTGGTATCGGAAACTCGTATAAGATCAAAAAATCGCTCCCTAATTGTTCCATATTTGTTAACAAACCTTAAAACAAGACCCATTTGCTCTTTTTAAGATTCATCTCGAGCCTCATCAACAATAATACATAATTTAGAGTTAATAATTTCTTGTCTAATATAGTTGCGAACCTTATTTGAAATAATATGGAGAATCTCTTTTTGAATCGAGGGAGCAGTATATTTGGCATTAAATCGAGGGAGCAGTATATTTGGCATTACAAGGAGCTTGTCGTATAGCTTTGGAAACATCTTTATTATATGCAGCTAATACCTTTCTGAATTCAAGATAGTTTCCTTGATTCTTAGAATTATTTGTTTCATTGTGACCGCTTAAAGGACGAGATTGTGTAGTCAACAAGCGGAGGACATCAATAGAGGCCTTTAAACGCAATCGATTTTGCTTGATTTGCATTTCACTTTATTTGTAAAAAACATTATGAATCTTTGCATTTTTCTTAGGAAGAATCATGTATAATTGAACCACATTTCGATGAGCTGTACGTGGACCTTCTCCAATATGAGCAAGGAACCCACAACGTTTCCCGTCATTGACTTTTTTCCAATTTTTGAATCCGGTCAAAGTAAACGTTTTTACCCGAGAATTTGGTGTTTCAGTAAACAGATAACAAGGTAAAAAGAATGCAACATCTTTAGAAGTGAATATTCCAACCAATCTGGAAACTTAGCAAACCAAGTAGATTGAAATCGGCGACGATGCTTTGTAGGTCCTGAAAATGGTTATTCTGCCAATTGAGGTTGATATGGCCCAATTAAATATAAGCATGTTACAAATTTTTCCCTAGACTCTAGTTTATGCAACTTTCCTACACCCCCATCTTACTTCGTCATTTTTACTTTCCCCAGTTTTTTTTTTTTTTTTTTTTTTAACTTTTCATACAAGTCACTGCATAAAAAATTGCTCTCTCCTCTTTTACAGAGATTTCACATTCTCTCTCCTATTTTTACTTCTTCAATTTTCTCTCTTCTTTCATGGAGATTTCTAACTTAGTTGTTTTTTTTATCATGATCGTGAATATGTTATTTCTGCTAGAGTTGGATTACTCAGTTCGTTTAAGGATTAATGTGAGTAATTTTGTATCGTTAATGCTAATTAATCAATTAGTTTTTTTTTTTATTTTTGATAATGCTCTGTTTTTTATTGTTATTGTTTCATTACAAAGATTTGATTTCATAGTATTGGTTGTAATGCTTTTAATTTTGATAATTCTTTGTTTTTCTATTGTTATTGTTTGATTGTAGTGATTATGATGATTTGATTTATACATTTGGCCGTAATTCTTCTTCTCTTCGATTGTTATTTCGTTTTATTGTTCTTATTTATAGTTTGATTGCTTGTAATCTTATTATTAGATTGTTCAATTCTACTTATGCTTTTATTTAATTTCATTTTAATATTCTATTTTTTTTCATTTATGTGCATCTTATATGAACTTTTATAATTATTTATAATTTTTTCATTCGATTGTTTTTACTAGTTTTATGTGTTGTATATATATAAACAATTATAGTTAAAACAATGCTCACTTTTGTAATAGTAAATGTTCATTTTAGGGTTATATTTGTGTACAATATTAAATAATATGGTTATTGTAGTTGTATATGCATGAATATATGTGTTTACATGTGAATTTTAATGATTATAATTGTTTTATAGTTGCTCATATACTTTTTAGGCTTTTAGCTAGTGAATATATTTTATTATTTGTTATTATACTGTGTCATTATAATGTTCAGCTATGTAAAGATAAATGTTCACTTATATATACTCTATGGTAACTTTACTCTAATTGATCAAATGCGTTATTATAATTGAACATTGTTGCTATTGGATATATATGTTCATTTATTACATGTTTTATTATTGCATGCAGTGACAAAAAAGAATGTTATTATTCTCGAAGAAACAAGTAAGCCTGATTTAGTGGGGAAACAATTTAAATCTGAAGAAGAAAACTTATGGAATGTATAACGAATACGCATTTATGAAATTAAAGATTTTGGAGTTAGAGTTGGAAAGTGTAAGAGGCGATAAAGAGACAATTCAATATGTATGAAAAGATTTATTTGTAAGAAGAAGCAAGTTCCTCCTAGTGCTGCAACAAATGCTCCTAGTATTCCAAAGAATGCTCAAGTTCCTGAAGTCCCTCCTAGAGTTCCTAGAACTATTAAAATTCCAATTATTTTAGGTGTTCAAGCTAATGATCTACTTGTTCGATTCCTGTGTTGAACTTAATTATGCTTCGCTAATTCGTTTATGTTTTGGATTTTGATTATTGATTTGGTTTTAAATAAGGGCCTTTATGGTTCCAGTTTGTAAGGTTTGACTTATTCGTTTTCTAAACTATGTTATTTTAAAGACTTTAGTTTGATTTTCCGCTGCAATAATTTGATAAAGCCTTAAAGTTTTAACACGTGGAGGTAACATGCCAATGGTTCTCCCCTATTTTATTTAAATTAAGAGGCTTGGAAAAGGGATAATTATTTCGCCTTACACATTCTAAGGTCGGCCAGGAGAACTTTGTACTTAGCTTCGTTGTTGGAGGCTTGAAATTGGAATCCCATTGCAAATTCAAACTTATCTCCCTCGAGAGACTAACAGATGATACTAGCACCACATCCAGCCGCTGTTGCACTTCGGTCCACAAACACTTTCCAGAATTGATCCTCTACCGGTTGCAAGTCCGGCCGTGTCATCTCAGCTAAAAAATCAGCAAAGGCTTGCCCCTTGATTGCTTTTATGGGTTCGAACGTGATATCAAAACCTCTCAATTCCAAGACCCATTTAAGCATTCGGACACTGGCCTCCAAAGTTGTAAACGGCTTCTTCAACTGCTGGTCCTTGTAAACCACAATCGAATGAGCAAGGAAGTATGGCCTTAGCTTTTTCGATGCCATGAACAATTCCAGCCCAAAATTTTTCAATGTGTGGATACCTCAGCTCGGCATTGTATAGGACGTGGCTTATGAAATACATGGGGATCTGATGGTTGTCCCTCTTAGCAAGGAGGACGACACTTAAATAGTGATCTGAAATTGCAATATATATGTATAGCTTTTCGTCTTTGAGCGGATTAATGAACTAAGGAAGTGTATACAGATGATTTCTCAATTGCATGAAGGCTTCCTCGACCTCTTGATCTACTCAAACATCTTTTTTCTTTATT